TATTTTTCCATTTGTACTTCTTGTTTCCTTTCTTGTTCCAGTTGCCACTATTGTAGTTTCTCTTCTTGTTCATTTTCTTTCTCCTCCAACCACTGCTGTAGTCTCTCTTGTTTATTTTCTTTCTCCTCCAACCACTGCTGTAGTCTCTCTTCTTGTTTATTTTTTTCTCCTCCAATCACTGCTGTAGTCTTTCTTCTTGTTTCTTTACTTTTTCTCCAGTAACTGCTGTAATCTATCTTCTTGTTTCTTTTCTTTTTCCCACGAGAACTGCTGTAATCTTTCTTGTTTATTTTTATGTTCGAGATGCCACTGTTACAGGTTTTCTTGTCACTGCTGTTGTCTCTCTTCTTGTTTCTTTTCTCGTTCTTCTTGTTTCTTTTGCTGTTCTTGTACTGCTGCCATCAGATCTGCTGAGTCTTAGTTTGATTTGCCACTTCTCGTTTCCATCTTTTTTCTCTCTCTCTCTTTTTCCATCCCACTCTCAGACACCAATTTGTTACATATCTGCTTGTTTGTTAATTTCCGGTAGAAGTCCTCTCTTGGTTAAACCAGTTTATTCTTCCTCGATACAAACTTTTAATACATGGTAATTCCACAGTCAGTACGTTTCTCGTCACTTTAAATAAACTTAATTACTTTTATAACACATGCTATAAATTACATAGATTCACAATCTCCAAAACATGCACTAGCTCGAAACAGAATCGTAAATTACCCGGTACTCTCTTCATTCAAATCCCGCAGGCTTTCTCTGCCAGGCTTATATACTAAAAAGAGGGAGTCCCAAAGAAACTCGGTCTTATCCGATAATTCATGATCATTCAGGTAATTCATCACGTGTTACCAGCATCACGTGACTTCCGCTGTCGTAACACTACAATGGTACTTCACAAAAAGGACTGACATGGCCAAATGTGAAAATAGTTATGAGGGACTGGCAGATTTACTAATACGTTGCTGTTGATAAAGGAGAGAGCACTAAAAGAGGTGAACGAGATGATAAAGCTGGTAGAACAGTATATGGAAGCCCATCAAGGGAGTATAGGTAGCAAGTCCTAGAATATCCAGTTAAAGTCAAAACCCTTGGTAGCTAACCAGAAGCAGGAGTCCACCAAAGGTGGTAGGAGTTTAACAGAAGACATGCAGTATTTGTTATAAAATAGAGCATGTTGGAAATGAGTGCAACTCCATCACTAATAAGCAAAAGCAGAAATATCAACATAAAGCTGCTGGAGCTACCTACAAAGATGGTGCTGATAAGAAACAATAAAAGAATGACTGTCACCATGGATGCTGCTGCCAGAAGAAACAGAATCAAGAAAACTTGTCAGATTCACCACAAGAAAGAAATGCCATTTCCATGATTGATCAGTGTATGACTAGTGGCCAGCTCAAGTTAGCAAATAGATCATCAGTGCCAGTAGTGATCAGAGCATGTTACAGATATCAAGGGGGTGCCAACAAATTACAATATCGCAATAGGTGAAGGCTATGTCAGGGACAAGAAAACGAAAGTCGTACAAGATGCTGGATGCAGTAGTGCAGCAGTGAGAACCAGAGTAGTATCTGATAACCAGATGACAGGCAAGGTATACCTGTGTGTGCTAACTGATGGGAAAGTGAGAAAGTTTTCCATAGCAAGAATAAAGGTGAACACTCCATTCTATGTGGTACCAATATACGACTTGGTGATTGGAAAAATACCAGGTAGTAGAAATTTGGAGGATCTAGACAGAAAGAAGACTGATATGGCATCTTCAGTCACCACTGGAGCTCAAGTGAAGAAGGTAAAGCAAGATATCAAGCCTATTAAAGTCTCAAAAAGTGACATCCTGATGTTGGTTCATGCCTGAGAAAAAGTCAAGCACAATACAAAATGGAGAGAGACTTATAAAACAGAGGACCATAAAGGAGTATTGAACTGGACCCGTCAAAGAAATTTTACTGGTAAAGCTAAACACATCAAAGGCAGCAAGAAATACTTGTATAACAATAAGGTCAAGGATAAATATTTTGAGGTTAGACAGAAGGTCTCAGTTCTGCTATCCACAGCCAACAACAAACTCACCCAGCACTGGAAAGGATCTTTTGCAGTACAAGAAGTGGTCAACAGGATGCACTATCAGGTGAAAGTGGATGGGGCAACTAAGGTCTACCATGCCAATCTGTTGAAGAGGTACTTCAAGAGGGAAGAATACTTTACAGGTGCAGCTATTGAGGTACAGATGGACATGGCAAGTGTAGCTGTCATAGAAGCAGAATCTGAAGACAGTGACTTCATTATAGAAGATACATACCTACTAAGACTAAGACCACTGGGTGGAGATGAGACATAAAAGGACGTCGACATGAGTGAAGAATTGGATTGACTGGCAAGAAAAAAAAAGAGGTACAAGATCTATTGTAACAGTATACAGATAGATTAGGAAAGATGGACATCAGGCAACACAAGATCAAGATGAAAAAAAGGATCCTGTCAACGTGATGCCTGACTGGAGACCGTATGCAAAGAGAGACCAACAAGGGAACTGCAAATGTTAGTGTAGGAGTTATTATTTAGTTCATTTAGTGATGTAATATTAAACAATTATTTACTTTTCATAACAAGAGAGTTAAAAGTAATTATTTTAATGGCAACAGTTATGACAAGTTTGTTTGTGTAACTCGGTAAGAGTCATACCTTGCATTTGCAATTACATTGTTGTCTAGACTTTAGTAATGTTGTTGACATCACGTTACTTGAATCTTCGGTATTTTTCTCGTTACATGAAGTGAGTATTGTGACATTATAGCATCATCGCTCGTGTAGTTTATAGAAAGTTCGAGCTCTCAGTGAGCAACATATAAATATAGGTGACCAAGCGAGTGCAAGTCAAGTGAAGTTAAGAAAAGTTAGAAAATGTGAAGTTTGCCTGCATGTGAATAATTAGCCATAATGGGCAATATTTTAAAGTGAGTTTCACAGTTTAATAGAGATAAGAAGAATAACTTGTCTTGTAAAAGGTTTCTAAAGTGATTAAACCCTTCTGTGTGGATTTTGACGAAAAGGAGACAATTATTTAAAGTTTGAGATACAACTGTGGTAACCCACAGAGTAACATAAGTAGAGAAAAATAATTCCTCTTGTCAATTGGATTCTAAAGTATTTAGATCACCCTGTGTGGACTTTTGACAAGAAAGAGAATTATTTAGAGTTTTAGATACAACTGTGATATCCTTTAGTGTCAAGAATTTTTGTGCATACATTTGACTTGTTTTGAATATATCATTTTAAAACAAGTGAATTGTGTGCTGTCTGTTTTGATTTTATCGCCAACAAGTCACAGACACCTACTGTTAAAGAAGCCCAGCCCACTCATATATTTAAAACACTGACAGTATTGAAGCCTTGCAGAATGAGAGGAAGCTTTGGTTATTTTATAAAAATCACTAAACCTTTCAATTATGAATTTTAAGACATAATGCATAATTAATTAAATTATAAAAGTAAAACCTAAATACAACTTAACTGTTTCTCTAACTATAACATACATAGATAAGAAACAACTTTAGTACTATGGTGAAGAAAGCTGCCAATAATAGTCCGTACATTCATATGTACCCTAGGATGACAACTTGGCACCAATTTCAAAATAACCATTGTTGGATTACAGTGTAAAATGTTCTTATCCTAATGACTATAAACACGAACATGTTGAGAGTACATATAACTATTAAAGCTCAACATTAAACTATAGAAGGTGGGCATGCCACTCTCAGGGGTTGACAAAATTTATTTCTTGTTTCAACTGCATTCAGCAAAGTACTTTGAACCATACTTGTCAAAAGGGTAAGTAAGCTACATTCTCATCTAGACTTATGTGTACTTGACTATTACCTTACGTTTAAAGCTGTACTTTGCCAAATTTTGATATAATTTATAGCCTGTGCATAATGTGACTCAAACTTGCAAGATTTCATTATTGCTTTCAGTGTTTCTTTTGAAATAAAGGAACAAAAATGAGATAATATAAAACTTTAAAGTATAATGTACTGGATGATAATAATTTCTTTAAAATACATTGATAGTAAAGTGATTTAATTAAATTTTGAATGTAACTCAGTGACATGCACAGAAAGGAATCTTTGTCATAGGGTTAAATTGTGTAACAGAAATAAACATGTCATTACAAAATATAGACCAAATTTTGGAATTTAAAAATAATCTAACTTACAATACTGTTAGAAAACTGTCCAATAAAATTATAGAAAATGATGTTCTCTTTGTAGAGTAAAATATTTTATTAATTATTAATATCGTGGACACTTGATAAGCACAAGAAATGAATATTTTGGGTAAGTACCAGGTAAAACTAGTACATACAAATAATTTCTTCAATTTATACATAGTATTGTAAATGCTTATTACATTATATCATAATTTACTGTAAGCTATCACTCCATGTATCTTTTTGATGTATGTATGTAGACCTAAACATAAAATTACATAATACACTGAAAACTAATTTCAATGAAGAGATCTTTAAATATTCATCAAAAGAAAGCTAACATCTGTGAATATTTATAAAAAACATGCTATTTTCATTCTGCATAAAAGGCACATCGTACTTAACCTGAAATTTCAAGTGCTCAGATCTGTGGACAACAGGTTCTTCTTTGTTTTAACAGGCTTTTTCTTACAAACTAAACTGAGTACTTGTTCACTTGGAAGCCTGAATATATTTGAACCTTAGAATTTATGTGAAAGCAAATAAATACACTATGTTAGGTGTGTAGACTAAACTTATTCATGTCAAAAAACAGCTGAAGCATAGAAAGGCATCTGACAGAACATCTAGACTATGCATTCCCACAACAGGGATGAGAAGAGAGCTTCTGTTTTTAATTCTAATATTTCTTGCTTTAGACAATTATAAAGAGCTATACATGACCTAACTTAATGTTAGTTGGTGTAAAGTCACCAGTCTGTGTTCTGGATACATTATATACCATAAGAATTCACCAAACAGACCTCATAATTTAAACTTCTGTACTGTGACTTTGAAATATGCTCATTATACTATAGAACTAAAGTTATACTTTGCATCAAGAATATTTGCCAAAAGAAACTGGTCTAAAAAATCAGGTAAAATTGTGTTTAAGTACTGCAATACAAAAGTGCATACATTTACTTTTCATACAATCATTTGTACAGTAGCATTGAAATCCATCAGTGCTGAGTCATTGAGATGAAAGATGTTCTTTGTATGTTACTAGCAGTTGAACCCTTATTCACGCTGTTGACATGGTTGTTTTATTGGCATAGTAGAAAAACTTAGAGCACAATGAAACACCAATTTGAAATATAAATAAACTTATGAAGCAAATTTAAAATTTCTTAAATATGTGCATGTGAAATCCTAATTAGGAATAAAAAAATCCAGACTTGCTTATTATTTTGGTTTGGTTAGAAATAATTTTTTCTTATGTAATAATTGTGAACATGAGGAAAGTATGTGATTAAAAAAAAACTTAAAATAGACAAAATTTTCAATTTATGGAATGATAAAATTGTATTAGAGATCTTAAGAATAATTTGATAAAACATAAATGTAGTAAGTTTAAATCCGTAAGAAATGTATTTTAATTATATTTTATAAAAGCCATTTCCTAAGATTTCAAATAAATAGGAAAAATAATTAAAATTTTAACAGAAAGTAGGGATCATTGGTCATTCGTAGAATCGCTATAAGAAACATCTAAAACAAAATAAATGTTGCAATAAAAAGTACACAAACAAGTAAAGTCCATGGATTGGACACAACATCTATAAATTTTAAGTATAGCCATATCCCTGATAGCTATAACTTTTACAAGAATTAAAACCACAATCACAAATTTATAAAATTTAATCCTGACTTTGGCCTACAGATAAGTGTATAAATTTTCCAAAGTTGGGATTAAATTTTATAAATTTGTGATTGTGGTTTTAATTCTTGTTTCATTACTTTTTATAACAGGATCCGTACTTCATTTTAATATTCATAATTTTTAATACTATTGCTTGTTTACTTTTT